GCGTTGGGGCGGGTTGAACTGGCGCTGGCGCTGGCCCAAGGCGAGCTCCTTCACGGCACCCTGGGGTTTTACAGCCCCGTCTCCACCTTGAAGAGCGTGTCCCTCCCGTCGCGGCGAGGACTTTGTATATGGACAAAGCTTCATGCTAGGGGCTATTACCTCGGAAGTCTTTCCCGTCTCTTCAAAGCCAGAGAGACGGACTGGTGGTTGGATAAAAATAGTCGTTTAAACTACGAGCATCTCTAAAGAAAGGCACTTCTAGGCTCAATTTCCGCGCACGTAGACACGCATTTGGGATTGGACACGTACAAAACGCAGCTGCTCACGCACTGCACAGGAAATAAGCTCTACCACTCACCAGCGCCGCCTGCAGGGACCGCTGCCACGTTCAGCACAGCCCGAACCGTCTCGCGCAATGCCCGTGGACGAGGAAGGAGGACACGCGCCCCTCCCCGCCGCACGCAGACGCCACTTCCTGTTGTCGCCTCTCGTGTCTTCCGGTCCGCTCGCTCTTTTTCGGAGCATCGCGATACTTGTTCCCAGTCGGTCTTGGATCGGCAGCGCAGCGCCTAAACTCCTGTGCGACCTTCTTAAACTCGCCTGCTACGTTAACAGCGAATAATAAAAAGAAACGTTCTTTTTGGCCTGGAGTTAGTTTTGAAAAGTTAACGTGAAGTTTGGTTTTGTGTTCCTTTCACAACGCTCAAAATGATTTTAAGGTAACGAGTTATGTGTTGAGTATATTACGAGTTATCAATGTACTGTACACTGTAACTAGTGGATAATTCTCGAACAATAAAAGTAATGGTTATGATGTTCAGTATGCGTGTTTTTTTGGTAAAATTAGTATCTTTGGTTTGTGCTGGAACATTTTATTGAAGTATTGGTAAGTTCCCTGTACAAAGAGGTTAAACTGGAAAAAATCGTGAACGAATAATAATGAAAGCAAACTAATTTAATCATTTAAATAAAATAGCTCTAACAAAGTGGTACTTGCTATTATTACTGCATTTATCCTGCTTGTTTTTCACAACCTGTGTAACGGATAACGGTCCTCTGCTAAGCAAATAAAAATGGTTTCTGTACCGGACTATCTTCCCTCAGCAACATGGCGGACAGCAGGAGCGCTCCACAGCGACCGCTTGGCTCACACCGCCCCCTCGCGATCACACTGGTTTAGCGCACCTGCTTGATTGCTTTTAACGTTACAATTCCTTTTCCTCGAAACTACAGCGTGTTAAAATGAAAAATGCAAATCTGTATCTTCTGTGCATTCTGTGCCTACATGCCGCCCTGAATAAGCTAAGTTGATATTTATGTAGTGTAACAGATGCCACCTCTCCTTCTGTAGCTGAGGGGCTCTGAGGGCGGTACCTGCTGGGTGGAGTTTGCGTGTTGTTCACATGGAATGTCTCTAGATGGTCTGGATTTCACCAGTTTGAAAGATTTTGTGATAATAGATGAACAGATTAAGGACGGTT